ATTTATAAATAAAAATTATTTTATTAAAATAAATCAATTAGAATTGTTTATTGGTTATTTAACGTAAATATGCAAAACTTCTATAGTTTTGCATATTTACATTTAGTTTAGGAAGTTTTAAATTTAATTTTTCAAGTTAAATGTTAACATGATACGTTACATTAAACTTCAACATTCAACTTGAATTTATAAAGTTTTATACACTTTTGCATTATATTAAGATAAACACACAATTATAAACACTCAATTATCTAATTATTAATATAATATTATCAACTAAAAATAATTGGAAGTGTTTGCATTTGTAACTCAAAGACTTTGTGAAGGTGTAATAAAGTGGATAAAATTTAAGAATTTTTATAATGTTGCAGGATATTTAAGAGCATGAAATACAGTAAAACTTGTTATTTCGAAACTCAGGGACCAAAGGAAAAAAACAAGACTTGGAATTATCCGAACTTTTTTGAATCGAAGTTTTTGATAATTCTTGAATAAAATTATCACATTATCTTATATAATTTCACCCGTTCAGTTACAGATGCGTTAATGTTACTAATTATTACTTAGTAATTTAAACTAATTTAACCTATTTCGAAAAAATCGTCAGTTGGCTTATACTTAATAAAAATGTAACCCAGTGTTTCTCAACGGGAACGATATCGCCCCTATGTGGGCGTTTTTTCATGTTGAGGGGGCGACTAGTAAAAATTTGTATTTTGGCGAAAAACAATTTTCTGGGCGATATAGTAAAGCATTATATTAATAATAATTAGATGTTTTATTCGTTATATCGTACAATAATTAAACAAATAACATTACACTAATCACTAGTCTATTCAATGCAGTACGCATTTGGCGTTAACCTTGTCCCTCGGCATCGGAATTTTGTAGTTAAGGGGGCGACGAATCGTTAGAGGTTGAGAAACACTGATGTAACCGAATTACATTCAAAGCAATTCCTAAAAACTCGTTCTTTTTTCTTTAGCAAACTGTTAGCGAACTTTTCATAGGGATGCCATAACATTTTTAAAAATGATTAAATAATATAACATATAACATAAAAGAACGCATTTAATGAACACTGGATTGTCGGTATGTCAGTAATATTAACAATCCCAGTAATTCTGACACTATACCAGTATGTTATTCTATACACTCATTAATAGACTAATATCAAAATAACGAAAAATAATTCTAATTTATCGTAAATTTTGTGTTATCTCGTATTTACGAAGTCTGTCATATAGATCTATCACAATATACAAAAATTAATTGCGTGAAACTTTATTAAATTTTTTAGTATTCGTTTTTTTATTAATAGACTATTCGAAGATCTCTAATACTCGAATGCTAGAAAGTATTCGAGTATTCCAGAATTTGACGATATTTATTTTATTTTGTTCTTCTCGAAAAATCATAAAATTGCAACGCACTTTAAATAAAGATAAAATTTCTCACAAATAATACCTTATTTCTTCAAGTAATGGAAAAATAATGTTATTAGTTTATAAATATATAACTTTATATATACTGTAATTCGTTTACTTTTTATACATAAAAATGATTGTTATAAATAAGAATTTATATTTAATGGCAATGGCAATAGGAATGTCTTAGTAATCATATAATAAACCTATTAAATAATCTCCATTTTTATTTTGTATATAAGAACATATTAATAATTGCCATTTTTTATAATCATATTGGAATTAACTCTAACGACTAGCGAAAAAATTAAATTCATTATTTCTATTAAATTGAAAAGCATTGTAATTATAAAAATTACATTTGTATAGAAGCTATATTAAGGTTCTATAGTGTCAATTATTAAAAAAAAACTTTTTTAAAACAAAATATATAGAACATTGGTTTACAAAACTTTTTGGTTCTCAACGCACTGTAAAACATAAAAATTCTTTATGGCATGCTTCGTGTTTAAAATCAAAACTACAATTTAAATTATAAATAGCTGTGTACTATAATAATTGCTATCATTAGGCCTAACATAGCTATTAGTTCATCATTAATGTATGTAGACATTGGTTTATTCTCATTTTTAAAATATGTTTTTATAATATACGTGACATATTTAGCCATATCTTGCGGTGCTCTTTTCCAAAATTTATATAGAGGATAAAACAACTTATTATAAACTCTTAAAATAACAGGAATCTCTATAACAGTTTGCTAAAAATGTTGTAAAGATTGCTTATAATAGTGCAAAAAATAATAAACTATTTTTTATATTTCTTAGTTTCTTGATGAAGTAATTGAAATTGATGGACTAATCTTCTTTAGTCAGGGGTATGAATGGAAATTCTTCAAAGAATGTAATTCCATAATATTTAATGGAAAAACATTCTAATATTTATAATAAATATTTTGAATTCGAAAAGTTAAAATAAATGTTAGAATATTAAATATATGTTTCACAAACTTAAATAAAATTGATTTATCACGCACCATTTCATAAACTTGGAAGGTAACCTACACATTTCTGTAACAGTTTTTATTTTTATAATTTAATATTTAAAGCTTAAAATATTCTACCATTTTTTGTGATGTATATTTATTTGGAACTCATTCTTTATATTTATTACAAATTATAAAATATTTTATTAAAGTTATTTTATTACACATGCCACTATGATATATTGTCAACATTCATTAGATCTATGTGCTATAATAAATATGATAATATAAATATATTTACATTTATATATTAAATAATAAATAAACCTAGACGAAATTTACTAAAATATTCACTAACAGAAGACAGGACAAATTTAATGTCTTCGAATTCGTCCTTTTCAGACAACAGCATACAGACCATGAAATGGAGTCGACCTCTTTCTTTAGGCTCTTCTCTTCTTATATATTTCTTCTCTAGAGAAGTACCTACAGAAAAAGTTCGACTATTCGACTCCGTCTTACGCTTCGTGTTCCTATAGTGTGAAAAGAATGAATTCGAAGACACTAAACGTGTTTCTTCGATTAGTGAATACTTTAATGTTTTAAATACTGTATTTTACGGCACATAGACGCACTTTTTTATGACAACGCAACTTCACATATCTTATATATAAAAATTATATATTATTCTCATAAACTAATTAATTTCCCATACGGCCCTCGGTAACTTCTATCAAGCCTAATTCTTGAATAAAAATTTTATTGTTTAATTAAGCATATTATTATTATTTACTATAGCTAAGCAGTTTTTACATGCCCACATGTAGAATATTTTGATAATAAATTTTAATTGTAAATATCTTCTTTTAAAAGTGAGCATTCTACTTTTACTTTTTAAAACCAGAATACAATTAAAAAAATACAATTGAGGCCAAGTGTCAAAGGCGCGGAATGACTTAATACACAAAATACTTTTTCTTAAATATTCTGTGCTGAAATAGGGGTGCCATAGAATACGGTATTTTCAAATTTATGCACTTATTTTATACCAGATTAGTTCATTATTATAGTTTTAACAATACTATGCTAATATATAAAAATGAATCTATTACTTTTATCGATTTGACAAGTTATTATACAGTGATTTATTTAACACGTGAATTATTCGATTAAGAATTTATTTTAGAATGTAAGAAAAATTGTTCATGGAGTTATCAATAAATGATATTTGCAAAATACAAAAATAATGACTTAAATTGTAATAAAACGAAATAAGTTAGCCTCTTGAATTTCCTGTATTTGTCACTAGATATATTGCACGGCACGTGTCCAGATTAAACTTTCTATAAAATGATATCGATGATGATCTATCTCAGGAAATACTTAAATTATATAACTTTTGCAATAAATTAATTATAAATTTTACTGAAGATCAGAAAAGCTTTTATCTTTTTATGCGATTAATTTTTGTATATTGTGATAGATATATATGACAGACTTCGTAAATACGCGATAACACAGGGTTTACAATAAATTAGGACTTTTGATATTTTGTATTATTAATTAATAAGTGTATAGAATAACATATAGTATCAGAATTATTGGGATTGCTAATATAAATTTAAAACTTTGTACATATAAATGATAAATTTGAAAAGTGAGTGATTAATTCATATTAAATTTCATTTATATTAATTAAATGAAAAAATTTCTGCATTTAAATTTGATATTAAGCTTCTAAACGTTTAGCTTAGTGGTTAGTAGTACGGTACAGTACATTCATAAGTCATAGCATTTACTGGCATACAGACGATCTAGTGTTTATTAATTAATTAAAGGTGTTCTTATATGTTAAAAATAATTAAATATATTATATTGTTTATATTATTTAATTATTAAAAATGTTATACCATCCCTATGAAAAGTTCGCTGTACGGCAGTTGTGAACAATTATCCACTGATCTAGTCGAATGGAAGAAAAACAAAAATTTCATTATAAAATATTAAAGAAAAAGGAATAGTATTAAAAATATCTTATTAGGATCGTATCTATGTAACAAAGAAGTGCATTTACTACTTTAGAGTATTTTGTTATCTCGAACTCTTGTGGTGAACATCAATGCACATGCTATTTTGATGATAAATGTATTAATAATCAGAATAATCGTACCAATTTCATACTTTAGAAAATAATATATGTATCATTGATTAGTTTTCCTACAACATATAAAATATTAAATTATTCATTATATTTGTATTACTTACTTCTCAGATACACTGAAAAAAAGACTGAAAACAGAAAAAAAATGAGAAAAAATACTCCATTATTTTTGCTTCTTTCTCTTCGAAATATTCTACCAAACTTTTTATTATTTTTAGAAAAAATAAAGAAACTAGGACAATGTCATTTCGCGTCATATACACGAGTTGATAAATGACTCCAAAGAATACTATTTATTTAAAAAAATTCAATATAGTTTAATTTATTTATAATGATACGTCATATATTGTACATTGGAGAAGTAACGATAAAAATATTCGTATTTCATCTGTTTTTAACATTTTAAATTATTTCTAAACGAAAATATTTTGTTTTATAAGTTTGAATAAATAAATATTTTTATATAATAGTTATAGTATTATTGTTATTAAATAAATATATATATATATATAGTCTATAGTATAATATATCCTCTTATCGCGTGGCACTTTACTATATCGACATTAAAAAGTTCAAAGATATACAGATGATATAAATTTTCATTAAATAAGATATATTGTACTTTAAAAATAAATAGACAATATATATTTTATACATGATTTCCATTTACAATAAGCAATCTCTTGAAGATCTATCTCTGAAATCAATCACGGGTGCTGATCTGTATCCATTATAATTGGCTCGTCCTTCTTTTCTTATTTCTTTAAGTACACTTTTACGACATTCTTGGAATAAGCTAAGACAGCTACTGTAATTGTGATTGGAAACTTGAGACATTTTCTTCCTTCGAACTTGTAAATCTAGTTCGTTGTCTAATAACAAACGAAAATCAAAATTTTCTAAATTTGTGGTGGAAGTTAAGTCGTTGGAAGAAGCTGTTAAACTAGAATTGTTTTGTACAGTTCTTGATGTTACTTGAGAACTTTTCTTACCGACTAACCAAAATGTTCTCATTTCACCTTTACCCTAAGAGATAAATAAGAGTAAATAAATATATAAAATTTTTATAAACTTATAAACATAATTAAGATTTAATGAACAAATAAAATTATTCAAAAGACACGAGAAAGGTTTAGTATCTTCAGAACGTGAAAGTGAATTAAACGTAACTGTTTTCGACGATCTTGTGTTAAATTTTATTAATTCATTGAATAGTAATTTTACTGTTCATTAAATTCTTTTCTTAACTATTCATTAAACAAAGGAAATTCATTAAATTGAAATTATTCGTAAAGTTCAATAAATAACATGTAAATAAAAAGAAAATTCAAACGTATTTACAAGAATGTATCAATATATGTAAATTTTAAACATATTTGTTAAATAATGTAACATTTCATTTTATTAAATAAAATTTTATAAATAAATAGAGTGATAATTTTACAATAGATGAAGAATAAAACTTGTAAGTAAAAGTATATAGAAACAAGAAAAGGAATAGAACTGTAAGTAAAAAGATTATAATGATTGATTTCTATCTGATACTTTTAGCACATCCTATCATTTATTTCTGATACTCTAAAAATATCAAGATAAAATATTACTAAAATATAAAACAAATATTTCTGGTTTAAGACAAAAGTAAATCGGATTCAAAAAATTTTTTTATTTAAAATCTACAATCTAAATTTAAAAACAACTTATTATATTTTAATAGCAAATGTATTGAAGATCCAACGAACTATAGAGAATGGCGTACAAATTTAAAATGCCGTTTTGCAATTGAGGATATAGTTTTTCTGTATTTAAAAGCTATAGGTTCAGAGATATATGCATTTACTATACTTTTTTATTAATGAAAGTGCAAATTATATCGTGCTAATCAGAATTCCAAGAAAAAAATTCGGTTAAGATTATTCTTGTTGTGTTTGCAATCTGTCAGCGTTGATTTCTCACTTCATAGAATCAGTTTTACTGTATACAAAAAAGGTACCAAGAATAGTTGTAAAGGATTGCAAATGTATTGCCAGGAGTTCAAAATGATGCAAACACAATAGTGTTTTTTTGTTTGTTTGTTTATAGGAGCGTTGAATAACTCAAGCTTTTAAATAATAATAACTTAAATATTAACGTATTTTAAATTCAAAATATAATCACATGCAGGCAATCTCTGTATAATATAGAACTTCTACAACATAGTTTTGCTCTAATACTGTCAAAGAGTTGCAATAAATTTCCTGTAATACGGTATTTTTAAGCTTTCTTACAAGAAAAAAATTCGTTTTTACGTTATAATGTTAATAATAATATTTTTATATTACGTAAATCCTCATTGTTGAATCATTAAAATGGGAAATACTCATATTGTACATTTTTGGAAAATTTTTATTACTGAACTCGTGCTTATTTGAGACAATTAAAAATTAACTTTGAAGAGTGCATTGTGTAATTCTTAAGATTTTAAATCGATCGGCTATTCATTTTTTCGGTTGTGTATTACAGCATATTTCTTAAGAGCTGTTTTTTGTTTTGAATTAAATTCCTAAATTATACCTAAAGAAATTAAATAAGCACTGCTTAAAACAAACTTTATTTTTCTACAATCAAAAGGTACAAATTTTAAATCGTCTTGAAAAACTAGAAAAAATATCATGCACTGTGAAATATGTAAATTTAATTAAAGCAACATTCCAGACCATAAAAAAGTTATAAAAAAATAGAAAATTAAAATTGCTATTGCTGCATTGCCATTGCTGCACCTAACCTAACCTAACCTAAAGCCTGGTTTCCACATGCGGTAAAGTTACGACGGAAAACTGGAACAGAAAATGAAAAGAAATTTTACATGTCAATTCTTTTTCCGTAAGCTACTAGGATACAACGGATACACTAATTAATTAATAAGTCGTTTTTGCGTGATAGAAAATGCTACTTTGAGTAAGTACAGTACATTAAGAACAATAATTTATTACAGATAATTTTAATAAAATTTAAATAAAACTTTGAAAGTTTAATTTTTAGTTTTATGAGAATGACACCAGAATTATTCGATGAAATTTTATCGGTAGTGGAACGAATAATTTATGCCATCATTTTTACAAATAACGTCTCGCTGAATACGTTTTTTATGGACTATCGACTATCTCTTTTCGCATTCGAAACCAAAAAACTTCACATTTCTTACTGTGGAACGGAAACATTTTCTATTTTATATTTTCCATTTCTTCTTTTGCTGTAATTTTCCGCAAGTAGGCAGCTGATTTTAACCCCCGTTTTCATACTAGTTATTAATTCTGTATATTCGCAAATGCATACATTTCTTGTTTCAGATTATTTCATTATACAAGCAGTTTTTAACAAGAAACATCTCAAAAATTGCATGAAAGTACCCTAGTTTACGGTAATTTATTTTAAAACGATAAATACACACACTATAATATTACAATATTTGTTGGCCTAAATCATATATATACAGTATATATAAACCACTGTAAAAATGAATCGTTTATCATACAGAACTTATATAAATTAAGTCTCTTATTTTTGTTGACAATTATTTTAATTGGGGAGATATTACAAGAATAGTGTTTTATCTTTCCATCTACTTGATGATTGTCAATACAATGTAGCACACGATAATATATCGAGTGTTTTCAACTATTCTACATTTTTACATTATTTATCTTTCTGTTTGTTCTTGTTAAATAGAATTTCTTCAGAATTACTTGCAAAAATATCGGAGATTTCAAATGTTATATTCTACTTCGTAATTAACACGAAACTACAGAATTTTCCTTTGCATATCGGCTCCATTCTTATTCTGGGAAAATCTATAAAGCTCTTAAAATATTTTAAAACAAGATTTTACTTTTAAATTAAACTATTTTTTTATTTAAAATAAATGTTATTTTTAAAATTTTAAGNACAATAGATGGCGCTACGTATAAATTAGTAAATCGAATGTAAATAAATACTCTAGAAATTAATTAATCTACATAAATCCATTAGATATTTTGGGGTGGGATATATGACATTATCTAAGTGAGAAATATGTAAACGTAACTGCCGAGATTCGTAGCAATTGGTTGAAAGGCCTAGGAGTGTGTAGCAAACGAACAAACAAACATTCTCATTTATAGACAGAGAGAAAGAGAGAACAACATTATGATTCAACTAAAGATATAAAAGGTGAGAAGTATGATCAAATTGATTCAGATCTCAATTTTACATAATTGTCATTTATTATGCATATTTGTTTGCTTCGTTATAAAATTAAAAAAATAATAATAATTAAAAAATTATTAAAATGTTCATATACGGTTAGTATTTGAAAAATATTAATAATTGTTTTGTTAAAAGTTTGTTCACAGTATTAGCGATTATTGACAATTTTTAAAATTAAAAACTAATTTATAAATAAAAATTATTTTATTAAAATAAATCAATTAGAATTGTTTATTGGTTATTTAACGTAAATATGCAAAACTTCTATAGTTTTGCATATTTACATTTAGTTTAGGAAGTTTTAAATTTAATTTTTCAAGTTAAATGTTAACATGATACGTTACATTAAACTTCAACATTCAACTTGAATTTATAAAGTTTTATACACTTTTGCATTATATTAAGATAAATACACAATTATAAACACTCAATTATCTAATTATTAATATAATATTATCAACTAAAAATAATTGGAAGTGTTTGCATTTGTAACTCAAAGACTTTGTGAAGGTGTAATAAAGTGGATAAAATTTAAGAATTTTTATAATGTTGCAGGATATTTAAGAGCATGAAATACAGTAAAACTTGTTATTTCGAAACTCAGGGACCAAAGGAAAAAAACAAGACTTGGAATTATCCGAACTTTTTTGAATCGAAGTTTTTGATAATTCTTGAATAAAATTATCACATTATCTTATATAATTTCACCCGTTCAGTTACAGATGCGTTAATGTTACTAATTATTACTTAGTAATTTAAACTAATTTAACCTATTTCGAAAAAATCGTCAGTTGGCTTATACTTAATAAAAATGTAACCCAGTGTTTCTCAACGGGAACGATATCGCCCCTATGTGGGCGTTTTTTCATGTTGAGGGGGCGACTAGTAAAAATTTGTATTTTGGCGAAAAACAATTTTCTGGGCGATATAGTAAAGCATTATATTAATAATAATTAGATGTTTTATTCGTTATATCGTACAATAATTAAACAAATAACATTACACTAATCACTAGTCTATTCAATGCAGTACGCATTTGGCGTTAACCTTGTCCCTCGGCATCGGAATTTTGTAGTTAAGGGGGCGACGAATCGTTAGAGGTTGAGAAACACTGATGTAACCGAATTACATTCAAAGCAATTCCTAAAAACTCGTTCTTTTTTCTTTAGCAAACTGTTAGCGAACTTTTCATAGGGATGCCATAACATTTTTAAAAATGATTAAATAATATAACATATAACATAAAAGAACGCATTTAATGAACACTGGATTGTCGGTATGTCAGTAATATTAACAATCCCAGTAATTCTGACACTATACCAGTATGTTATTCTATACACTCATTAATAGACTAATATCAAAATAACGAAAAATAATTCTAATTTATCGTAAATTTTGTGTTATCTCGTATTTACGAAGTCTGTCATATAGATCTATCACAATATACAAAAATTAATTGCGTGAAACTTTATTAAATTTTTTAGTATTCGTTTTTTTATTAATAGACTATTCGAAGATCTCTAATACTCGAATGCTAGAAAGTATTCGAGTATTCCAGAATTTGACGATATTTATTTTATTTTGTTCTTCTCGAAAAATCTTTCTCTAAAAATCATAAAATTGCAACGCACTTTAAATAAAGATAAAATTTCTCACAAATAATACCTTATTTCTTCAAGTAATGGAAAAATAATGTTATTAGTTTATAAATATATAACTTTATATATACTGTAATTCGTTTACTTTTTATACATAAAAATGATTGTTATAAATAAGAATTTATATTTAATGGCAATGGCAAT